GATAACACTTATGAGATAATTCCTCTAATATCTCAACAAACTGGTAGGCAACTACTAGGTCAACAAGGAAGATATGTCCATATGGGATTAATTACCATTGGAGTTAGATCCTTGGCTAGACATATGATTGGAGCTAGAGCTTTGATAGTTCTACATGACTCCAGATTTCAAAACAATGATTCACAAAGTGTGATAGGTATTTTAGAGGTAAATTTAAATCAACCTTTTTCATTGATATACCTAGCACCAAACTTTACAATTACACTTCCAAATTTTGTTAACCACATAAGTCTAGAAGTACAAACAGTAGGATTTGGACCCAATTGGGTGGGCGAAAATCTACACTTAGATATCACCTTCATTGGAAGAATTAGTAACCATATTTCTTCCATGTATAGGATAGACACAAGACCATTAGAGGAAGCTATTAGCTCTCATGGTACACAATTTTTGCCAGCTCAAGCCTTCACAAGAAGAAATGAAGGACACTTGTGGCAAACACACTTACCTAGGGAAGAAGATACCCCCGTTACTACCCCTTCATCTGCTATTTTACATAACAGATCTAGAGGACTTAGTCTAAGTTTCACAGACTATAGAAATATTCCACAACTAGACCTAGAACAAGATAGGCCAGTGGAAAATAGGCATAGCACTTCTGCTATTCCTGACAATGAAAACATTTCGATGATGAATATTGTAGAATGTGAAGAAGATGAAGATGACATGACTGATGAAGAATGGAATCATCATCAGGCTATCATAGCCATGTTCAGGCAAGGAACTTTAAATTTTTTGTCTCATATAAATGAAAATGTCCAAATTAATGAAGAAGATGATATCATTAATAAGATGGACGACATTATAAATGCATTCTTAGATGAATATTTTTCAGATAAGGAAAATGATACATTAGATAATGCATCCAAAGTCTCAGAACCCTTACCCATATTAGGGTTAGAAGACACAAATGATGAAGATACACTAGATAATGTATCTTTAATCGAAGAATCATTGTCTAAGTTAGACAACACAAATAGTGATACATTAGATAATGTATCCATAATTTCAGAACCCTTATCAACATTAGGGTTAGTAAATATAAATGAGGGATAAAATAGTTATCAACCTCACAACTATCAGTTAGAACCTGATGGTATACACAATTACTCTGTTGGTTTTCCACCTAGAGTATCACCACAAAATGTTGTCTTTAGCGACAACCAATACATAACATTAGGCAAAAGGCTTCCGATAGAGCCTAACTTCCAGATGCCTAATCTTCTTTTAAACATAGGAGGGATAGATCCTCAACTATTGCCAACATACATTGAGCAATGGACTGCAGCTGTAATCCGTGATTATGACATACATCATGATGGCTCCTAGAGGCATATCTGCATATTTGTTCTTCTACCTTAGAAGAATATTTGTTTTTTTTTTGCGCTTTAGGATGGCTCCCCATCCTGATTCGCTTCCATCACACTCAATTATCAAATAATCAGAGTCTAATGGTAATTGTAAAATTGGTAATTGATTTACCATTTGTTTTATCTTCTGAACCAATCTTATGTCTTCCGAATTAAATTTTCTTTCTCCTTTAATAGAAGTCTTGTTGTATAAAGGAGATGTGTATTTACCCAAATTTGGAATAAAATTTCGGGCATAATTTAATAGTCCTAAAAAGGATCTTAATGTTCTAATATCTTCCATTTTATCAAGAAAATCCTGGATTTTTTTTTGAAATATGGGGTTGGAGTTTTATGGTTCCGTTCCCTATTTTTTTTCTTAGGAATTTTATAAATCTTTTACAGATTTCTATTTTGTTTTTAGACACTATTAATCCATAGTGTTCTAATTTATATAATACTTGTTTTAAATGAAGAAAATGTTCTTCTTTAGTTTTGGAAAAAACAAGTATGTCGTCTATATAGACGCAAGTAAAGGATTTAATGTCCTTAAAAATGTTGTCCATTTTTCTTTGAAAAATGGCACGTGCATTTTTAAGACCGAAAGGCATCACATGCCATTCATATAATCCTTTTGAACAGGAGAAAGTTGTCCATTTTACAGAGTCTGGATCCATTTTTACCTGATGGAAACCACTCTTCAAGTCAAATTTTGAAAACCATCTTGCATTTTGTATGCGGTTTATCAAAATATCTTTAGATGGAATAGTATATTCATCATCGATTGTGTTATCATTAAGTCTTTTATAATTGTAAATCATCCTAGATTTACCTCTTTTTTGCTCTGAGGCTTTGTTTACAATGAAAGCAGGACTCCTATGAGGACTCTCACTAGGAGTTATTACTTTCAATTTCAAGAGATTATCAATATGCAATCGACATTCTTCTTGTTCCCAGTTGTTAAACTGTATGTCTTTTGTTTTTATAATCAAATCAGGATTGATTATATTAAGTTTACACATAACAAGGTCACGATCCCAAAACTTCGTAGGGTCTTCTCCTATTATGCTTGTTTTGTTTAACCTATCCAGTATCTGTTGGATGTTGTCAAATGTGATTGTTTTTTATATCTTTATGGAAGAAAAAGATTCCATAATATCATTTGTGTAGTAATAATCCAAGTTTTCTAAATCTTGTTCCATACAATCACATATGTCAGAAGATTTAGGATTATCACAAGAACATACATCCATAGGTTGTTCTATGTATTTTTGGTTGTCACCGCTAATTATAGGAGACATTTGTGTTCTATCACTAATTATAACATAATATTTGTTTATAGTGATAGTTCGATCTTGGCCTAGGATAAAATCTAAACCAATAATCATATTTTGTTTGGAGGGGACTAAATTTTCCACTCGCATAGATTTGAGGTGTATTTTCTGACCAAACAGGTCACACTTTGTGCTAAATTGAAGAGAGATATTTCTTATCTCTTCATCATTTATCATTATTTGACCAAACATCGTTCTGGTTTTTTGTACATGTTTACTTTTGGTAATCATGTATGTGGGTACTTTTGTTCTGCATACAACTGTTTCAGAACATCCTGTATCTAAGAGAGCTTGAACTATAACCTCTTTGGCAGGATATTTGTCTTTATGAGGAAAGTTTAATTTTACTAATACCTTTAAGGTAATTAGTTGTTTTGTATTACAAACTAATGGGATACGTTCCGTAGTTCCCATCATATTGTTTTGTGTAAAAGTAGATACTAAATCTTTTTCAGTATTTTTTCCTTTAACAATTTTTTCTAAATGAAGAATTTTTTCTTCAAGTATGTTTAATCGGGTATTCAAATCCATTTTTTAATAAATAAAACAATTCAAAAGAGTAATTCACTTTTCAATTTCTTGAAAATTATACATTTTTTATTCAAACACATTATAAGGTATTGAAGAGTTATTTAATAAAATTGTACAGGTGAAAACATAGAATGCTAAACATTTATATTCATTTTTTTATGCGTATTAAGAAATATTTTTATTTGATTAAAAATGTGTATTATTTATTTATATCTTTTTTATTTTTATATTTATTAATTTAAATCACATTTATTATTGATAAAATATAATTAAGACTATTTTGAATTTTAAAATATGACTGATAAAAAATAATATTTTTTTATAAAACTTTATGGCAAATAAGTTAGGAGTAATTCTTTGAGTCCATGTTAATATGTATGCAAACTATGTATTCTACTATCATGTCGTGTTAGTTATCATTTATTTACACAATACGTTGAGGAAAATGTTGACTTATAAATTGATGAATAGAGCAGGAACAATATTTTTAGGAAAGTATGGCATGAAAACAATATTTTAGATATTAGTTAGTTGAATGATGTATATATATATATATATATATATATATGATGTATATATATATATGTATATATGTATGTATATATATATGTATATGTATGTATATATATATATGTATATATATATATATATGTATATATATATATGATGATATATATATATATATATGTATATATGATATATAACAAATTGATGAAATTTGTTATATTATTATTATTATTATTCATATGTAGTTTATTTTTAAATAAAAATTAATTTTGTTTCTAATTTATAGAATTTCATTATTTTTGAGAATGATTATTATTATTTTTGAGAACGATCACGATGATGATGATTATTATTATTATTATTTTATTATTATAATAATTATTATTATAATTTTCATTTTTAATTTAAAATTTAAAGTTAAATAAAATAAAGGTTGAAAATCAATTAGAATTTTTTTTATAAAGGTGAAAAGTATAATTTTGATGAAATGAGTGAATATTTTAAATATCATGGTACTTTGTATTGTTTATTAAGTAATTTCATCAATACTTCTCGATTTTACGATAAAAAGATCACACTCCTTCTAAATATGATAATGATATATTTATAAGTTTTGATTTTTCTCATAAATCAGAAAAATTAGCTCTTTTACTTATAAATAAAATTCTTTATAAAAAAATTAGATAAAACCCCTTATAAAATACAAAAAAAAATGAAAATCAAACATGAAATATCTCATCATGCAGGTTTCTTGCGAAAGAGAATAACTCTAATAAGAAAGAAAAATTGGTCCTCATCGTACAATTGTGTTTTTTCTTACATATTTGTTGCATAGTACTACTTATATTATTAGTTATTATTCTGAAATTGCTAAAATTTTCAATATAATATGAAATTTAGAGTTGTTTTATTAAAAAAAAAATCTTTGACATAGAAATTGTCCAATCCTATTTATTATTATTTTTTCTAACTTTGTTATGCTTCTTTTAGTAGTAAACTTCGTAAAGATGTTGTTGAACCAAGAAGAGTAAAAGAATTAGAAAAGCTAACATTTGGGTTTAAAATTTTGTTCTTTTAAACTCGAAGATGATCTTAATTATGAGATTCAAGAAATTTATTTAAAAATTTTATATTAAATATAAAAGAAAATGATCAATTATTTCATTATTATATTAATAAAGAAAGTCTAGAACCATTGACTGCACAAAGAATGAAGAAATTACTCACTACATTATTGATATAAGGTTTAAGATTTAGGAATGATACGTAACATTAATTGTATTAAGTATATAAATGTATATATTTAATTAGAATTAAGTGTATCATAAATTTGATTAGTCACTCGATGAAATTTTAAAGTTTGTTTAATTTTAAATTAATGATAATTTATGTAAATTACTTATATAATAAAGATGCTAAATTATAAAATATTTACGAATATTATTCTTATAGTTAATGAATATAATGATAGGAAATTTTTTGTATATTATTAATTAGTTGATATATATATATATATATATATATATATATATATATATATATATATTATAAAAACATACATTGTAAACATTAATTAAATAACATATAGATTTTATATCCTTATTTTTGTCCAACAATTTCAAATATACAAATGTCTATCTTATATCATTTTACAATTCAAAAATTATCTTTTAAACTGCTACTAAGAATCCTTTCTAACATATATAAGATAGCTTTTAAAACATTAATGTCTTTCTAATACACTTTTTTTATAGTGTATTTGACATTGTGTCCTGTGCACAAATGCCATATATCAAATATACTAAGGATTGTTAATTTCATCATATCTTTAGTAATATTCACCGTGTATTTATCAGATATGATAATTTTTACCTTGTCTAGTTGTATTTCTACTTTATTCAAATATATTTTTAAGTAATTCAATACTTGAATAAACAAAATCATAGCGTGAGCCATAACAAATAAAGATGGTAGAGTATATCTCTTTTCTTCTCATATAGATCTAAGTGTGCATAATGTCAAGGAGTTGATTATTTCTTGTGGCCCGTGGTTTATTTTTTCCTTGTTATACATACACACAAATATTTAGACCAATAAAACCTATACATGAAAGAATTTCATTATTATTAATATTTGAATTATTTCTATATAAATATGTCTCAAATGTCATAAGAAAACAGAGTATTCATTCCCTAATTTTATTTAGTGTCGTCAACATTACGATGCAGAATCAAAAGCATTTTAATATAGAAATCATCCATATTCTTTGTTACATATATCACACTTTAATTATCATTATACAAAATATTCTTCTAGATGAATTCTAACTTTGTTGGCAAATTTTGAATATTAGTTTTTGTTTCAGCTACAAATTCAATTGTGATTGATGACGAATCTTGATTATTGATTTTTTTTAAGAACAATATATTATTAATAAATAATAAATAAATATGAAAAAGTAAAAAAAAAAATAAGAAACAAACTAATTATAAATATATAAAAAAGTATATTACAAAATTTTAACAAATATCCCTAAAAAGATTCATCTGTTTATTTGTAATGTTTAAATAATCATTATAGTACAAAATATGAAAATATAACCATTACTGCTTGTTGGGTGATTATTTGTAAAGTGTTATTTTTTAACACAAATTTTATGATTATTTAACAAAACAATTATTATCCTAAACATTTATTAAACGTTGAAAATAAGGATATTATTATTAAAAATAGTTGATGAGTATTATGTTTATTATGGATTAGATAATTGATTATATGAGCTCAATTATGATATATTTTTTATTATTGCATGTAGAATTATGTTAGACTCATATAAACTAATATTATTTTAAATAAAGATATTATATTGAATTCCTAATTATATTTATGTCAAGAAATATAATTTATTCTATATGAAAATAATTATATTAATTGATTATGAAATTAATTAAATTAATTATGATTTTTTAATTATCTTTATATTAAATTAATTCTTATTCTTATTAAGAAATTATGATATATCCGATACAAATAATGATTTAGTCATGCATTATATTTAATTAATTAATTTATTTATTTATTAAGTTTATAACATATAATGTCATGAGTCACTGGGAAAATGTAAAATTTTGTCCCACAAGACATTATTAATTTGTTAAGAAACAAATAAATAAATAATAGGTAAGAGGAAAATGTTTTATGAAACTCGTTATTCTATGGAGTAGTAATTTTAAAAGATATTATCCACAAAACTGAAAAATGTTTCCTTTCCACCATAAGTGTATTTGTTTTGTATTTCATAATTTTTTTTGTGATAAGTTATTGGAAAAAAAAAAAATCTCCAACTAAACTTATGCTTAATTTAATTACGGTACTTGACTCTTTTAATATACCAGTCAAGATTTGTCTCATGTTTTTATTTTTTATTTTATGTTTTTAAACCATTAATAATAATATTATTTTTAATATTATTTAAATTTTTAAATAATAATAATAATAATATTTTATATTTTTTAATATAATATAATTATCAAATATTAATAACAATTCACGATGATTTTGGGAAATCTCTAAAAATAATTAGACACTCGCCATGAAAAAAAATTACGATAATTTATATGTTGGAAAAAACACTCATTCCGTACTGTAGTTTTTTTTTTACATTTTTTTATTTTCTTAGGTTTCTGATTACGATATATTAAAATACATTAAATATATTCAATAATAATATTATATTAATAACATTAAATAATCATATATAACATTAGAAAATTGTATTATACTAAGAGTATCTTCAAAGGGAATTGCTACCAAGAGAGCATCTCCTATGATAATTGCTATAAAGAGTTACTTAGGAATAAAAATGAATATTTTATTGTGATTTCTACATCTGAATTGTTTAAAATTGGAGAAAGTTACTTAAAATTGAAAAAAAAACTGATTGGATAAGCAATTTTGACCATGTTATAAGCAACTCAATTATGAGACCTATAATAAAATATTCAATTTTATTCTTAAGCAACTTTAGTTAAAAACCTCACGGAGATGCCAGGTAAATATTTTATTGTGGGTCTCACATCTGGGTTGCTTAAAAGTGGAGAAAATTGCTTAAAATTAAAAGAAAGTTGTTTGGATAAAAACTTTTGACCAAATTTCAAACAACTCTTATTTTTAACCAATAATAAAATATTCAATTTTATTTTTAAGAGACTCTTGTTAAAAGCTATCTTTACAAAGGTTTTAATAAACGTAAAATATAATATTTAATAATTATATTATATTAATAATATAAAATGTTTTATTTAAAATTTTAACTAATATTAAAAATATTATTATAAAATAAATATATTATATTACGAAATATAAAATATAATTATCTAGAATTTTTACATGAAATATATATTATTATTATTATTATTATCAATTATTTAAAAATATAAAATAACATAAAAATTAAGAATATAATTCAGAATTTGATTCCAAGTCTAATTGATTTTTTTCCCAATAAGTTATATTACATAAAAAATTTCATATTTTATCTGTTAAATAATCAATATTCTCATATTATTTAATTATAAAAGATAAATAATAAATACACTTTTTTTTCCTCTGAGAGCTGATCAATTTGGGAGGGTGGGCAAAAGGTGACGACAAAGTGGACAAACATGCTTGATTTGCAGCCAAGGCAAAATGCATTGCAGATGAAACAAATGATGGCATGGCGTTGTGAAGCTCTCAGCATTCCTATCCAACTCCTCCAAGCAGACACAACAATTCTCCGTTGCTCTGCAACACTGCATGGATTGTCTCGTAACTGCATGCACGCCACTATTCAATATGAAAATTTCCACCGACAAAGGGATAACTCGGTGCTCAGAAGCAACCCTATCACCAACTTCAAACAACTCTCGGACAGTGGAGGCAACACTCTCCGTGATTTCCTCAAGAGAATCAATGGAGAAGTGTGTGCGTGACAAGAGTGCGTGTAGAAAATTTTGACCCTCTTGGAAGAAGTTGTTGCGGAGTATGGACTGAGAAGGAAAACAATACTGCAAGCGTCGTGGGTATGTGTTGAGTGACTGATACAGAACTTTGATGTCGAATTTTAAAATATCATCAGAAAACTTCAGTGTGGTGTGGTCACCATTCAACCTTAACACGCGGTAGAAGAAACGCTGTGGGTCCATTCTTCCTCAATATCTTCTGGGAAACTAAACTCTGATTATTCTGCAAACTCTTCAGAGGGAACACATTTTTATAAGGAGGGGGAATATTTGTTTGAGATTTTATTGTTAGAAAGATAATTAATCATATATCTTCTTTATTTAATGATATCTTTGCAAAGTGTTCATTAAATTGGGTTCTATTAGATTAATTTCAATTATCTTCATAATGTTAGTTATCCGTTAATAAAAAATAAAAAATTAAATAATTTTCAATCCAGATGTAAGTTAATAATGATGCCCGTAACTTGTTACAGTGTAATTTTATTAAATTCTATTTAAATTTGATTTTGTTATTTCATATTTGTAATTTTTTTCTCTTTTTGGTTAATGATAGATTATTTATTCACTTAAATCTATACTACATAGATTATTAATTCAAATAAATTTATATATGATTTGATAGATATATTGATATAGAACTACAATTATTTCAGTTATTTTTAATTTTCATATCTCATACATAAAATTTTGAATGGTCCATGAAAAATGTGAAGGTAGTAAATATTCAAAATCAATTAAATCGAATACGCTAACTATTTTTATTATTTTAAAATATTTACCTTTTCAAACTATTTAAATTTGATTTACGTTATCTTATTTATATTTTGAACAAGTTTGCCCAGTAAAATTTGGTTAGCTAATATTGGAGTTGTATATTTAGTTTATTAAAAAAATAACCTATTTTCAATATATAGCGTTAAAAAAATTATCCTATTGAAGTTAAAATATGGTCATCAACATTTATATTTGGTTACAAAATGCTCTTCTAAACTTGCTTAATACTTATATAACCTTTGATATAAACACATGTTTCCAATTCTAGTGTTAAACCCCATTTCAAATTAAGTAATTAATTTTCTAAATATTCACTGTTTTATTTTTTTCTATTAATATATATATATATATATATATATATATATATATATTTCAAATTATAATCTATACAGAATTTAGTTATCTCAATTATTTAATTAAGTGAAAATATAATTTCAAGTGAATTTGAAGAAAAATTAAATTTATTTACATTTAAAATATTAGTATAATGACAATCTCTAAATAAATACCAGCTACCAACTTCAATTTAGAAATTTAAGTAACTTGATAAAATTAAGTTAAGAAACAATAGTTATTAATCTATAATCTATATAATCATATGAGATTTTGTTTTATAACTGTTTTGGTGTAATCTTTTAATGTATTATATATTTTAATCTTATATATTCTTTTTCCTTCAATTATATATTTATTAATTTTCTCTTAAATAAAATTAATAAAAAATATATTTTTCTCTTATTTTAAAACATCTTCAATCACACATTTTCTCATTTCTTATTCTCTTATAACTTCCTCCCACATTTATTTATATCTAAATTTTACTCTCAAATTCAAATAAATAAAAATAATAAAAAAAACTATCATTTCTATTCTTAAATAAACTTTTTTGCATTGATGAAAAAAATTAATAAAAAAATTTCGCTGGTACAAGATAATATGGTTTTAACGTATTTTTTAATTTTTTTTATCCATGATTTTAATTTTAGTTAAATATAGTAGATTTTTTTTGGCCTAATATTATTTGGCCATTTATTTCTCCATATAACATATTGTATCACTGTTTATCTTTCAGTCAGAATTTGGTCTCCTGACCTTGAATTTGCAACGTTTTGTATTATTTTTTTTGGCGCGGCTGAATATATATATATATATATATATATATATATATATATATTATATATATTTAAATAAAATTGTTTATATTTTTATATATAATAAGCACATATTTATATTATATATATTATAACTTATTAAATATATATAATATTTAAGTATTTATTTAATATTTGTAATAAATATATATAATATTTATAATAAATACATATAATATTTGTATTAAAAATTAGTTTATTTAATTTTGGATATAATATAAAATAGAATTAGTATAAATATTTTGTTAAAATTATATATAAATAAAAATTAGATAATTTGAGTAATATATATATATATATATATAATTTAAATTAAAGTGAGTAAATATTTTAAGTATTAAATTAGTACATAAACAAATTAGAAAACTACAGGTAGAATAATTATTTATTTATTAATTGTAATAGTATATTACAAAATGGGAAGTTAATCTCGTAAGGTTACGGTTATGCAAATAATTTTTGTATGTCTTAGAATTTGACAATAAGAGCATTTTCCTTAATTAATCTTCTTTATATATATCTATTTTAGTCCTAATTAATGATGACCGTGGATGATTCTTAAAATTTCTTATTGCTGGATTGGGGCAAAGTTGTAGGCATTGGTGGATAACTAATAATCTTCATGTCTAAGTTTCCTAAAAAAATTATTGTACACTTTATTTACTATATCCAATTTGTATACAAGATTGATCTACATGTTGAAATCTTTGTGGGTATATTTGCACGCTACAAACACATGAGAATATGGTAGATAAAATTTTTGGAACTTCCCACAATTGCATCAACCTTCATCTAGTCTAATGAAAAAAAATTTAACAGGTCAAACTTCTCTTGGGTTAACAATCTCCTCCACCAAGAATCTTGTGCTGTTTCTATAAAAAATTTAAGCATCTATGAGTGTTTGATTTTATACAAACATCTTACAACATCTTTAATATAACTTTTAAATAGACATGATCAATATTAATCATTGTAGTGATTTGTCTCCCTCATTCAATGAAAAATTTGTTGCATCTTGTGTATATGGAGATGATCATGGAAGACATTGACAAATTCCTTATTTTCTTAAGGATTAATTTGATGGATTCTACTAAGTTAGTTATAAAGTGACCAAATTTTCTGTCTTCATTATATACAAGTGTCCATTTGTGGTTAGAAATTTAATCAATCTGATGTTTTCACTACAAGAAAAAACATATTTAGCCACCGAAATTAGCGTAATCGATTTAATTTTGGTCGCAATTAGCTGATCGATTTAATTTTGGTCGCAATTAGCGATCGATTTAATTCGATCGCAATTAACAACCAATTTAGCGACCACTTTAATTCGGTCACAATTAGCAACCGATTTAGCTGACTAAGTTAATTCGATCGCAATTTAGCGACCCATTTAGCCACCAAAATATGATTTGGTTTCACTTTTTTATTTAGCGATCGAAATAACGACCAATATTTTAGGTTGCAAAATTTCGATCGCTAAATCGATGGCTATTCTATACTAAAATAAAAAAATCATTTAGCGATCGATTTAGCGATCGAATTAAAATCGATCGCTAATGAGAAAATAGCGACTCAATTGAAATCGGTTGCTAATGAATATTATTTTTTTATTATATTTAAATTTATTTTTTTATAAATATACTTTAATTGTTTTAGAATATTTTTTACAATTATTTTTTAAAAGTAATTTATTTTTTAAAAAATAATTTATTTTTTAAAATATACTTTAAAAATAAACTTTGGTCTCAATATTAATAAAATGAATTGTAATAAATCAAATTTATTAAAAATTTAAATTGTAATAAATTAAGACTAGAATGATATTAACTATTCAATACATTGTTTAAGAAAATTTTAATAACAAATATTCTTTAATTTATTTTTCAATTGAAATTAAATTATATTTTAAAAATTTATATTAAAAAAATTAAACACATCAAATTATCACATTTTAATTCCTCATTAACTTAATTAATTAAAAAAATACAATTTTAATCAAATTATTACAATTTTATTTTATAATACTTTATTTTTAATCTCATTTTTAAATTTATTGCTTTATTATTATTAATTACTTAATCATGGTTTTTGTCATATAATTGATATACCAAAAACAATTTATATCAATATACATTAGATAATAAATATATTATTTAATTAAACTATTTATAAAAATATATTTATCTTTAGTTAAAATATTTTTTAGTTTAAGTATACTAATTAATATTTTTTTATTTTTAACATAATTAATAAAAAAGATTAAAAATTTAAAATTAATCTATTTTATAAATACTAAAAATAAACCATATTTAAATAAATGAAAAATATATTTAAAATTATATTCAACATAGTTAAGGTTGTGCCTTTTTAAAATTTATATTCAACATATATTTAAATTTATATTAAAAATAGTTAATATAAAGTAACGTTGTGCCTTTTTAAAATTTTAACTTTTTATATATTGGATTTTCATTAAAAAATTTCTAAAATTGCATAAGAAAATAGAGATTTAATTATACTTTTAATAAATTTAAGATAATACTAGTTTTTATTTTTATTTTTAAATATTTATTTTAATTTTTTAAAAGAGAGAAACTATAATTTTAGTTTCTAAATACTAAATTTAAAGAATTAAATTTATTATTATTTAATATTTTAATTTTAGTATTAAAAATCTAAATTATATTTTATTAAATTAAAATAATTACAATATATTTTTCTACTTTGAGAATTAAAAATATAATTAAACTAAAACTGAAAATATTATAATACATTTTTGAACTCTTTTTTATAATATTTTTATCATTATGATATTTTTGGATTAATTATTTTTTCCTAATTTTTTATAAAGTCAATTTTAATATTTAAAAGTATTTAACATTTTGAATTCTGAAACTTTTTCTCTATTAACAAATTTAAAAACATAATATACTAAAAAAGTATTATACATAATTATTTCATCCAAATTTTTAATAACATGATAAGTCATCAAATTCAGTATATAAAACAAATTTAATGATGGATTAAAATAAAACAACATTTATAAGAGACTATTTATTTTTATTTATGATGGATCAAAAGTGGAAATACATTTAAATTTATAATTTTATTTATGAAACATATTTAAATTTATAATTAACGAAAATAATGAAAATCTTAATATAATATGATACTTTTAGTAATGTATTTTTTTTATAAATTTAAACTTACTTTTTTAGTTTACTTTTTAAATTTTATGTATTATTATTGTTAATT